GACATGCTATATTTTGCATATTGTTGGTTTTAATTGGTCTATTCTTAGTGTCTGTGCTTTCAGTTGACTCGACCCAAAGTTCAGGAATCCCGTCTTAACTTCTCAGCATCATTCTCCTTCTTTAGAAGGACTAAAACCTAACTCTTTGACCTGGCTTTTGAGACATGAATTTATAACTCCTTTTGTGGCTATTTGATCACGCTTCTAATTACATTTCAATGCAATATTGTTGCAGCATTAGGCTGCATACCAATCACAAGATAAATTTAATACGGTGTGATATCCAAAATGCAGCTGACTTGTGATAAGGATTATGAAATCCATAAGTGATTTCTCTTCCCAGCAAAAATAGAATACAGTCAGTTGTACTTCCACAACACAGCATTTGATCCCCAGGTGCCTCTTGAACATGCTTAAATCGACAAGCAGTGGACTTAATATCACTGAAGCCAGTCGGGAAATCAAACCACAAATCATCGAAAGATATTCACCAGAAATAATGTGCTGCCAATCCGTGGAGAAAGAGTGCACCAGACGTGAGATTTCAGGAAGCTTTATCAAGCCAAATGTCACACAGCAGATGTGGAAACTAAGCAACAGATCATCAGAGCTGGATCAGTGTCAAGATTAAAGTTCAGCAAGAAACAGCAAAACCACAGACCATTCTGACCGTTTGTGTTGTCATCCTTCAGATGAGGTGTTCCATTGAGGACATTTATGCCCATTTGGGTGAAGCGACAAGTCGCACAGCACTTTACACAGAAAGCAGATCGACCTGATGTTAGACGCCTAAGTCAGTAGATTGTGATTTGCAGCCCAACTCGAGAGATACAGTCTAAACTGACACTCCAATGGAGAACTGGGAGGTGCTGCATTGTCAGACTCACTGTCCTTTAGGTGCAATGCTAAAACGAAGCCCTGTCTGCTTGCTTGGATGAATGTATGCAAAAATTTCCACTAAATCAGAAAAGAGCAGGAGAGTCCTCCCTAGGGACATTGACCATTAGCTATTCCTCAACCAAAATCATCAAAATAGTTTGTAGGAGCATGCTGTACTCAAAATGGTCACTGCATTGGGTCACATTCCACCAGTAATTACTTACTTCACAGGTTTTAATAAGACCATGATAAATAAGAGCAGGAGTGGGCAATTTGGCCACATGAGCCTGCTTTGTGATTCAGTAAGATCATGGCTGATCCGATATCCCTCAGGTCAACTTTCCTACCCTTTCCGCATAGCACTTCATTCTCCAACTGAACAAGAATCTAACTATATCAGCCTTATACCCGAGGACCCTGCCCCACAACTCTCCGTGGCAAGGAATTCCAAAGACTCACAACCCACTGAGAGAAGAAATTTCTTCTCATCTCAGTCTAAAGTTGGTGCCCTTTAATTCTGAGACTATGCCCTCTGTTCTTTGACTCTCCCATGAGGGGAAACATCCTCTCAGCATTTACCATGTTAAGCCCGTTAAGAAATGGTATCACTTGTCCTTCTTCTAAATTCTAATGTGTAGAGCCCCAACCTGTTTAATCTTTGCACATAAGTCAATCCCTCCATACCAGGGATCATCCCATGAACCTTCTCTGAACTGCCCCCAATAAAATGACACCATTTCTTAAATAAGCGGCCAAAACTGCCCTCAGTACTCCAGATGAGATCTCACCAGCACCTTGTAGAGTTGCAGTAAGTCTACCCTAATCTTATACTCCAACCCCCTTGAAATAAGAGCCAACATTCTGTTAGAGAAATAGCAAGAACCGCAGATGGTGAAGTCAGATATTGACAAAGTATGGAGCTGGAGGAACACAGCAGGCCAGGCAGCATCAGAAGAACAAGAAAGCTGACGTTTCGGGTTAGGAACCTTCTTCAGAAATGGGGAAGGGGAGGGGACTCTGAAATAAATAGAGAGGTGGGAGATCCACAGAGGTCTTTCTGGAGGGAGGAGGGTAACTTCTTCAAGGTAGGCATCCCCTCCTTTTATTTTATGGTAATAATTAGCCCCATCACTAACTTGCAAGCCTATTTTCTCCTTTAACATTTTTTTAAAATTTTCATGCAACTGAACCCACACCCCCAATATTTAGTGTAAAGTCCTAGGAAGATCCCCTGAGAAGTTGTGATCATGACGTGATAGAATTTAATATTCATTTTGATTGGCTGTGAAGCCCTTTGGTTTGTCCTGGGGTTGTGAAAGACCTGTTATTATTGTGGTGTTTCTTTCTTCACCAGTGAAATTGTTGTCATAATGGTGGGTGCCAACAAAAGGACAAAACCTATTGCACATTCTAAAATGAAATTATTAAGTATTAATGAGTTAGTCATTCAGCTGCAATAGTCATCATGAAATAATGAGATCCAGCTATAAATCTCTAACAAATCAGGATATGTGCAGCCTGCACAGGAACAAATCATACTGCAGGTAGTGCTGTAAATAATAACATTCATTTAGGCAGCAGAAAAGCATGTCCTCAAATGTGGACCAGTTCAAGTTAGTGCTGATTCTAGTTTTTTTTGTTTAAATCAACCTAATCAGATATGTTGTAATACATCTGTGGAGCAGATGGGATTTGAACCTAGATATTCCTGACCCAAAGGCAGGAATGTTACCACTTTGTCACAAGGGGCCTTAGTGCTCAGTTTAGGGGCTGGACTTTATATATGTATGTATATATCCATCCATCCCTCCCTCCCTCCATCCATCCATATATATCATGGTGGCTCACTGGTCAGCACTGCTGCCTCATAGCACCAGTGACCCAGGCTCAATTCCAGCTTCTGGCACCTGTCTGTGTGGATTTCCTCTGGGTGCTCTGGTTTCCTCCCATGGTCTAAAGATCTTCAGGTTAGGTGGATTGGCCATGCTGAATAGTTCCATAGTGTGTAGGTTAGGTGAATTAGCCATGGGAAATGCATGGTTTCAGGGATAGTGTTGGGGGTGGGCCGTGAGTCTGGATGAGATGCTCTTCAGAGAGACTCAGTGTGGATGTGTTGGGCCAAATGGTCTGTTTCCATGCTGTAGGGGTTCTGTTCTGTTTGTCAGAGATGGTTTTATACACCTTTGAACTTTTTCTCCGCACTACCAAGTCACCAGAGTTACTTTTTAAAAACTCTTTCTCCACTACCAAATCACCCTTGTTTCTGAATGAAAGATTTACATGCACAACCCCCAGGAAAGGTTAGGAGTGAGGGAGAGGACTAAATTAAAATGGGGGCTGGACTCTAAGCATCTACTGGTGCTATGAATCACCAGGTAGCCAGTTAACCTGGATAAAATGGTCATAATACCCTGAAAATGCTAGATCTTGTCTGTTCTTGGAAGCTAAGAGACTCAGGCTTGGTTTGTACTTGAACAGGAGACTGCTTGTGAGTGCTAAGAAAAGGAGTAGGCCATTCAGTCCCTTGATGCTGTTCCACCATTCAATTAGATCACAGCTCATCAGTATGTTAACTCCACTGATCTGCCTTAACTCCATATCCCTTACCCAACAAAAATTGCATTTAAGGTAGATAAGAGGAGCTTTTGTAGTGCAGTTGTAGCATCCCTATCGCTGAGCCAGGAGGTGTGGTTTCAAATCCCACCTGCTCCAGAGATGTGCAATAATATCTCTTAATCAGCAAATACCACAATCTGGATAAGCTCTCTTTAAAGCCAGTTGAGGAAGGCAGCATGGGACATTTCAGATAATAGCCAGATTCGCAGAGCTGTCAGGAACCAGGCAGCCTGCGTGCAGGAGTGGCTCATGACCACACTGTGGAGGGACTCCATCTCCATCTTCACCTGCAAATCCATGGCCTTGCTACAAAGCCCACTTTCTTGAAACAATTTGGAAAGAAGGCACCTCCATTTTGAAGCACATGCTCCCTCACTTACCTACGGTCACACCCTATTGCACTTGCTTTCAGTCTGGAAGGCTTCTGAGTGTCCCTTTCAGCTTTGAGAGTCTCTAACTGGATGGCTAACTTGTCCGCTGGCCATTATTTCCCAAATCTGAGAACAAACAATCTTTTTCTGGCGAAGTGCAGGTTTGTTTTGAACCTTTTGAACCTGATGGTGTGGGTCAGAAGCCCACAGGGAAAAATCCTGTCGCAGTGATATTATTCTCAAATGGAGTTATCAGCCTATTATTACTAGCCTGGTATCTGACCGACACTGCACCACATACTGATCCCGATATCTAATATGGAAAGGCACGTCCTCCAGTACTGTGACTAAATTAGACAAGCAAGCTGGTGTTTTTGATGAATGGAAGGCCTGTTTGTTTACTTGGCCTACCCACAGCTCAAGCTATGCAGTCCAACATCAAGATTACAGTAAACAACATCAATGAAACAGCATTGGTGGTTGCTATTTATAGTGAATTCTTTCTCATCTTCAACAGTACAAGGAAGCCAAGGGGCATGCAGGTCAAACTGGTCACAACTGTGTTATTCCCCTGGTCCAATGTCATTGCAACGTATCATTTCCTTTCTGGAAGAAAATTGAGATCAAATTAAAAGACCTGATTTACAGTGATTTATTTAGGCGTGCAGAAAATCCTTGGTGTCTAATGTTTACTAATTGCCCTCAAGCCTAACAGTCCCAGTGATATAAGTCTTTCTGTCGATATGTAAGCAACAAAACAATTAAGTATCAATAGACATGACAGAGCAACTCATTATTCCTGGAGTCCTGGCCAATATTTATTCCTCAATCAAAATTGCTAAAGCAAATTATTTGATCGTTATCTCATTGCAATTGGTAGGGGCTTCCTGTGAGTTTCTTGTATTGTGTTATTTCATAGCTTGTACTTGGGTTCAGGACAGACGGGTAAAGGAGAAAACAAAACCAACAACTGTCATCAGGCTGAGACTTCAAAGTAACACAATTTATTATGCAGTGAAACTGAGAATAATAGGGAACACAAATGGAATGTTGGACCTTATTTAATGGAGGATAAAAAGGGGGAGGTTTTGCTAATACTGTGCAAAACTAAGTAAGGCACTGGTGAGACCACAGCCGGAATACTGTGAACAGTTGTGGGCCGCTTATAGAAGGAAAGATATGCCAACAATGGAGGCAATCCACAGAAGGTTCACTAGATCCCAGGTATAGAAAGGTTGTCTTATGACGAAAGGCTGAGCAGATTGGGCCTATACTCTCTTATGAGGAAAGGTTGAGTAGATTGGGCCTGTACTCTCTAACGAGGAAAGGTTGAGTAGATTGGGCCTGTACTCTCTAACGAGGAAAGGTTGAGTAGATTGGGCCTGTACTCTCTAACGAGGAAAGGTTGAGTAGATTGGGCCTGTACCCATTGGAATATAGAAGAATTAGAGATGACCTTATCAAAGCTTAAAAGATTCTCAGGGACTTGACAGGGTAGATGTGCAAAGGTATTCCCCTCCTGTGGGAGAATCTAGAACCAGAGGGCATAATGTCAGAGTAAGGAGTCACACCTTTAGAACAAAGATCAGGAGGAATTTCTTCTCTCAGAGACTTGTAAATTCTTAAAAGAGAGAAGGTGGGGAACAGGGAAGGGACGTGAGAAAAGGCTTGAGTGTTGACCGTGAACAAAGAAATGGTTGTCTTCCAATGGCCAAGAAAGAGATAAGGGCAGGGTTAAATTGCATGTGTGTCAATGCACAGAGCATAGTGAATAAAATTGGGGAACTGGAAGTAGAAATGCTTGAGGGCAAATAGGGTTATGGTAATTGTTGATTTTAATGACCTTCCCGTAGACTGGGAAGAAGGTAGAGTGTGGGACATGGAAGGGGAGAACTTCCTGCACTGCGTGCAGGAGAACTACCTGGAACAGTATATTTCCAGTCCTACCAAGCAGGATTCTATACTGGATATGGTCCTAAGAAATGAGGCAGCCGAAGTGGAGAGTGTCAGAGTGGGTGAGCATTTGGGGAATAGTGATCTTAATACAATAAGGTCCAATATTAAGTAGGAAAAGGATACAAAGGATTAAGATCCCAGACTGAAAAATGGCAGATTTTAGGGGTCTTAAAGTTGAATTGGAGCAGGTTGATTGGAATACATTTGCTGGATAAAACATTGGATGAAAAATTGGTGCCTTTCAAAAGAGAGATAAATAGGGTACAAGCTACGTACATATCAATGAGAAATAAATATGGGGTATCCAAACCTATAGTATCCTGAATGACTGAGGATATTGATGAGAAAATAAGAAAGATAAAGAAGGCATATGATGCATCGCAGAAGGATAATAGCAATAGAAATTGGGAAGAGAATTTCAAATGCAGGAGTGAGGCCAAGGCCAGAGTAAGGAAGGTTAAGAGGAACCTTGCAGGAAGGATGCCCAGACTGCACTAAAACAAATCTTAAAAAAATCTTCAAATACATTAACAGTAAATGATTAGTGAAGGATAGAGTGGTAACCATAAGAACCAAACAGAGTAAGCTGCTTACTGAAGCAAAGGATATGGCAAAGGTACTAAATGAGTATTTTGCTTCTGTCTTTACCAAGTTAGAAAATGCTGACAGTTGACCATTAAAAATATGGGTGTTGAGCAACTGAGCCCTAAAAATCTGCCCTTTTCCAATCTGGAATCTTAATCCTTGACTGATAGTAATAGATAAAGAAGAGGTGCTACAATTGCTGCCAGCACTCCAGGTAGAGAAGTCACCAGACCCAGATGAGATGCATCCTGGATTGCTGAGAGAGGTAAAGGAGAAAATTGCAGTGCCATTGACGGAAATTTTAAAGGCCTTTCTGAACACAGGATGAGAACCAGAGCACAGAAGGCTTGCAAATGTGACAATGTTATTTAAGAAAGGAACAAAGGATAACACAGGAAACGACAGGCCTGTCAGTTTGACATCAATAGTAGGAATACTGATGGAGGCCATAAACTCAGAGAAAAAAATGCATTAATACTAGACAGTCAATGTTGCTTTGTCAAGGGCAGATTGTGTCTGACAAATTTAATTGACTTCTTTGATGAGGTGGCATAGGCATTAGATGAGGGTAGTGCTGTGGATGTTGTATATTTGGACTTTCAGAAAGCGTTTGATATGGTGCCATGTGGCAGTTTGGTTAGCAAATTAGAAATGTTTGAGTTGGATGAGTCCTAGGCAGCATGGATTAGAAGTTGGTTCAAAAATCGGAAACAGAGGGTAGGTATAGATGAGCATTTCTCAGATTGGAGATGTGTTGAAAGTGGTAGCTCTTCAGGGATCGGTGTTGGAACCTTGCTTTTTCTGATTTATATAAATGATTTTGAAGATGGGTGCTGAGATGATACTAAACCAGAGAGAATATTGAATTGTGAGGATGATGCTGAGTGACTTCAGAGCAGACACCTGGCAGACGAGTTTCAATGCAGAGAAATGTATGGGACTGCATTTTGGTAGATGAACCACAGAGAGACAATAAAAGCTCAATGGTACAGCTTTGAGGGGAGTGCAAGAGCAGAGGGACTTTGGGGTTCACGTGCATAATTCTCTGTGTGGATTCCATAGGAGGTTTCAAAAGAAAGCTGGATATATATTTGAAAGTGATGAATTTAGAGGGCAATGAAGATAGGGCTGGAGAACGGAACTTGCTGGGTAGCTCTTTCAGGAGCCAGTACAGACATGATGGTCAAATGGCCTTCTTCTGTCCTGTAAAATTAAATGATTTCAACACTCCATTTTCTTCTTCACTGCCTGCTATACCTACATGCTTGCTTTCAGCAACTGGTGTGCAGGGACCCACATCTCATTGCACCACCCACTCTCCCAATCTATCATCATTTAGACAAGAATCTGCCTTCTGGTTTTTGCTACCAAAATGGATATACTCTGAATTCAAAATGAATTTGTTTAATTCAATTTTCACCATCTGCCATGGTCAGGATTCAAACTTGGATTCCCAAAGCATTACCTGGGCTTTCTGAATTAATAATCCAGCAATAATACCAATAGGCCATTGCCTCCTTAATTCTTGAGAATTCAAGAGAGGTTTCTAAAAAACTATATTTGTGTGACAAGAGACGATCTTCCTAACTGCAATCCAATTGGGATTTTTCCATTTGTTACGTTCACAATCCAAGACTTTTGGATCACATATAATCGCATTTATTCAAATAATGTGATACTCACTCATCATTTGCTGTCAGCACATTACTTGCCTTTTTTTATTTGCTGTTGCATCAGCTGCTGCAAAAACACCTCCTAAAACATTATTTTCAAAGTACTGCCTTGCTACACTGATTGAAATCCATTTCAAATTATTGACACATTGGTTAGCTGTACCTTAAGCCCCTGCAAAATTCCTCTTGCTAAGGGAAGAGGGTAGTGTGATAAAGAGATTATGAAGTCAATTCATTTGGCATACAGCAATCACAGCAGAACAGTGAAGGAAAACAGTACAGACTATATATCCAGATTCCCCAGTGTTTTCTTAAGTTCAGTGAAGCAATCACCCCTGTTTCTGCAGCAAGTACATAAAATGGCACATATGCCCAGGAGATAACAAGGTGTAGAGCTGGATGAACACAGCAGGCCAAGCAGCATCAGAGGAGCAGGAAAGCTGACGTTTCGGGCCTAGACCC